GGTAACTGTCGGCCGTCTTAGACTCGTTCCGATGGTTACCACTACTACTACCGCCACCGGTGCCGACACTCGTGGCGTCCAGTAAACTGATCGCACGCTCGACACCGCCCGTCGACTTCACGGCCGGGAAATCGTTACGTATTTTGTCCATCACTGACGTCTTGATTGTCGGCAAGAGTTTGGTTTTGTTGATACCCTTACGGCCGTCGGCGCCGCCGGTGTCCACGTGAACGACGAACCAGTCGTTGATACCGCGGGCCGAGAGCTTATGCAACCAAACAGAGATCTCGTCCCTCGTGTGGGCCTTATAGGTGTCCACATCGGGACAATCGGTCCAATAGGTGTAGAGTAGGGGTCGCGACAGGAGCTGCAAGTGGTCCGTCTCGGCGGTCAAGTGCTGGTCGGCTATCAGTGGCACGAGTTTGGCCTCCAAGTAGACTATCTTCGAGGCCCGACCGTAGGTCCTGTTTGTGGTGATAGTGTTAGAGGGGGTGGGGGTTAGTGGGTGTGTGTGGGGAGTGTCTGGCCGTACATACCGTTGCCATTCAACGCCTTCTTGTGGTAAATCCCGTGTGATTTGTTGCGACAATTGGTCCGACACTAGAGACTGATTACCCGATACTATGGGAGAGATATAATTGTGGGATCAATTAAAGTAATGATTACAAGACATGTGAAAACTGGTGTTTCACTTACCGGTGATCAACGGTTTCTCGTCCGAAGACATGGCTGGAGAAGCGGTGGCGGTGTTTATGTGGATCCGTTTGTGTTGTCCAAGAAGTTTGCGGTGATTTTTGTGGTTTTAATTGTGATTTGATTTACAAATTGTGTCAAACATTTGGTTTGAGTTTTGGGTTTTGTTTACTAAACAAATGGTTTGACAAACCATTTGTACATAAATTACGGCTATTTTTATCAACTTTTTTGGCGCAAGTTTCGATTGATTTTTACGTTATTTAAATATTATTAATTGATAAATCAATTAGAAATTAACAATTTTATTATTAGTTATATTTAATTTATTTTTGAATTTGTTTAATAATAAAAGTTGAAGTGAAATATTCACAAATTAATTAAATAATGATTTTATTGTAATCGTTAAAAAGTACAATAAGTTTTGAATTTAAAAGTAAAACGTTTGAACACAAGAAATGCAAAATTAATTGTAATTATAATTAAATAATATGTTTAGTGAATGTATTCATACATTACTATACATCAAGACATGAGATGAAAAACGGGTATTCAGTGTTCACATTAATAATGCTATACTTAAAGAGATTTAAACTATAAGTTTCAAAATTTGTTGAAGCGAATGAAAAAACTTTTACCAACAATTAGGGAGAAAATAATTAATACATGTTTCACTCATATCACTGATAGTAATGCCACGGATTTGTCTCAATCCAGACAATGAAATCAACGACTCGTCGCTAATCTTCACTTATCTTACGTCCAAACACTGAAGTTTTGGTAAATTGTCGTAAATATTATCTATAAATGTGTCCGAAAAATATAAGCGCCAATCGTTTTGAGCCCATAACTGCAAATGAGTTAATCGTTTGAATGGCGCCAATGAATGGCCGGTTAGCGGCTCTTCCGGGGCATAAATTATTGTCATTTTGAGTCTCTTTAATGCCATAAAGTGTTCACTAATCGTATGAATCAATTCTGGCGTCAATTCATAGATATCAATATCAAGACTCTTCAGTTGCCGACAATTGATACCAATTTGAGTCAATAATGACAGCACCTCTTCAGACAAAACCAATTGTAATCTGAATCTAAGTCTAACCAATGCTGGCATTTGTGACAAACAAATCAACACTTTATTGTCCGCTTCGGGTATAAAGTCTTCGTCGCCCCAAAAAATCGTAGTCACAGTAATTGTCTTCATTTGATGGCCGTATTTGTCCGCAAACACATCCAATGCCTGAATGTCTGCCCAATTGTATAAACAAATGTCAATATTATTGAGCCGTTTAAACGGCACTCGGCTTTCGGTCACCGATTGTAATGTTTGGTATGGATTGGATTCGCAATAGACATCAAATGATTGCATATTTACACACATTTCCATCCACTTTTCGATTGACTTTTTGTTCAAACTTGCATTGAATTTACAAATTTTAATTGTTTTCAATTGTGGACCAAATTTAGTGAAAAACTTGTCAATCGTTTCGTCACTAATATCAGAGAAGTGGATATCAATGTCATTCAAATGTACGCAATGTTTGATCAGTAGATGAATAGCTGTTTCTTTGAGGATATAATTTGGCGAATAAATGGATGAAATATTTGTACACTTTTTTACAATTGATTTAAACATATGTTTCTTTGATGTTATTCTTCGGCCATAAAAGTAATCAATTGATAGCTTTGTTTGTCTCTCGTATACCACTCTTCGCCACTGTTTTGAAATGCATTCAAATCTGAATTTGTCTTCGAGTG